ACTTTGAAGAAGCGGTTCTCGAAGCTCAGACTTTCATGTCGCGTGACTATGGGAACATGGCCTCCAATATCTAACGTGTCATTCTGGGATCCAATTCCCCAAAAGACATCAATAGATACTGCCATCGGCCTACGGAGCGAGAGTTCTCTGTTCCAAGACGTATCATCGAAGACGCTTAGATCATCGGATAACGCGAGCGTCACGGCTGAAGACGACGAGTGAACGCGTATGGGCTCGGACGAGAAGGGTTTACGTCTGGTCATGGAATAGACTCTGTGTCCTGAGAGGGATTTGCGGGGAGATGTGCCGACTCGTTTGCTATGGATATCGTAGACGTCGGACTCATGGACCTTTCTTCTATGTCTACCTAGCTTACGCCTTCGATCGACGCCATGAAATAGCCTTCGGCAGTGATTGCACTTCACTGGTGGAAAGGCAACATGCTGTAAACGGCGCTTGCCAGATCCAGAAAGTCGGCCATGACGATATCGATATCGCGGCTGTTTAGCTTTGTTCAGGATCTCTCGCGTATTGGCTAGTCTGAAGGCTGACTGGCAAAAGGCATCGTCTTCGAGTGATCCTGACCGAATAAGGTCGGCGAAGGGTAAGGTCTTCAGCACAGCTTCACGACGCGACGTTGAAACGACCAACTCTTCACTACCTTGTTCGAACGACCTGGACGCGAGATCGTACGAACATTCCGAGTTCAACATTTGGCTCTTAGTCGATCGGGTAAAAAGAGTTTCCATCCCATCTTCACGATGCGACGTGGAACTGGCCAGCTCCCAACTATCTTGCTCGTATGAGTTGTTCAGGCGGTGCTCGATATCGCAAGGTTCAATCCAAAAGACAGGGTGGGGACCAGGAGATGAGTAGACGACGTTATGGACCGGATTCGGGCCGTACTCGACATCGAATGGGTTGACGAAATCGAATGGGCTGACGAAATCGAATGGGCTGACGAACTCGAAATCGAATGTGTCGTCGCACTCGAGATCGAATAGATTGACGTACTCGGCATCGAATAGATTGACGTGCGTGAGATTCGTAAGACCGGACGGGTGATCAGCCGACACGTGGCTACTAGCAATCCGCGGCAAGGATCCGTCTGCAGTTGTCACCGAACGCCTCCTGTCTTCTTGTGGTATACAGCCAGACCATCCGTTTACACATGTATCTTGGTCTTCTTGAAGTGTGAGAGCGACTGATGTGGGCGTGGTCTTGGATCCTCCCTCTGCTCGTTCAGCAACAGCATCATGAGGGAATGGTATTAAATACTGGAAAATGAGAGGAGGAGGTTCAGGACCTTGTAGGTAGGATTCGGACACCGAGTCTCCCTCCAGCTCTGCTATGGGGGTATGGCCGTCCCATAGCTCATAGCCCATATGCATCTCCGTGACATCGTAGATACCAGCAGATGGAGGCCGCATGGGCGGAATAGAGTCGTCAATTCCGAGCGATTTCGAGCATAATCTTACAGTGCCGGATTCGTTCAGATCGACCGGGTGCACCGGTCTTTCTGGCCTCTTCTTCAGCTTGGCGTCTTGTACATGGTGTCTCTTCCACTCGTGTTGCTTCCGCTCGTGTTTACCAGTGGTAACAGTGCGTCTATATACCTTTTCACAGACGCGGCGAGCTGCCGATAAGCCAACCGTTAGCGGATTATGAAAGCTACGGACATGCCGCTTCAAGTTGCCTTTCGCGTACCTGTGTTTGATCAAGTTAATATTACCAAGGTTGTCTAAGCGCATGAAGGAATGTGTACTAGCAAAATATGCAGGGGCGAAGCTTACTTGCCACTAAAGCTTAGGTCGCATTGGCTGCAGTGCTCAAGCTGTTGTGTTGACGATGCTTTGCTTTCTTCGAAAGGACCTGATTGTATGGGTACAAATCTGCAGAGCTCAACCGGATCATCGCTATTAATTGCTGTGCCTGACTCGAACCGCCATCTTTCACCTTCATGGTATATGTATGTCCCGCGATTGTTCCATTTGTTTTCCGTTATTGGTGGAAAGGTGGCGAAGGGTGTAAACGTCTCTTCTAGAGATGCTTCGATGGGCGTAGAAGTTCTCTCTGGAATTGCATAGGTGAGTATGGAAGGTTTCGTTGGAAATGTATTGGTGGATGTTGAAGGCTTCTCTGGCGCCTTCGGGGAACGCTGGATACGGATCGTCAAGCTGGACGTTTTCGTTTCGATGGCCAGCAACATCGATGCGATGAGATTGGAAAATTGTTTCCGGGCTTGGATGATACCGAGAGTAAAGTTTTTTTCCTTCCTAGAGATACGTGAGGGGTTCCAAACTAGTGGCGTTCTGCAGGTTTCAGCCTGATCGGTCAGATTTGCTTTTGTGTGTTGTGACTGGCTGCCCTGAATACACTGCCTCACCGGTGGGAAGGCTGTTCAAATCGACGAAGCTTCCTGCATTTATGAAGCCTTTCTCGACTTCGCTGAGCTAGGCTATGGAGCTCTGCGCATCATGCAACACGCTTGGTATCAATCTAGCAAGCTTCCTTTCGCATCCAGGTACTGATGACAACCAGCGGTTGAAAGAGCCGATACGTGAGATTGGCTATCTGAGCGATGTTGGGAAGAGAAAGGACGGATGTGTACTTTGTCGGCTGATATATGAGGTCTTTAGGTTTGGATTGCCAAGGAGGGTGACCAGCATCGCCGATGCCAGCAACATCGCCATCTTTGCCAAATGGATCAACGCACTCGGATCGGAGAGGAGTAAACGCTTGAGAAGCCCGACTATCTATATCATGGTGTGGGCAGTATCATCCGACCTTCCACCCAGCGGATATAAAATCCTCGTTCGAGCGGCATCCGCCGCGCTCCCAAGTCAACCACACTTCGGGTGTATTACTCACACTCCCACGTCATTTCTGGATTATACTCAACTGGTGAGGTGGTTACAGCACTGCGATACCCAGCATACATTGTGCAAGTCACCCTCGAGTGGAATTCCGACGCGATATTTCTATTTGGTCGACACACGTTCGCACTGCATCGTCGAACCTGTTGCGCCGTGCCGATATCTAGCCCTCAGTTACGTATGGGGCGGCGTCGACCAACTCAAATTGAAGGAAGACAATTTCGAGCGCCTCAAGACTGCGGGCGGAATTAATGTCGGCGACCTAAGTAAGACAGTTCGAGATGCGGTACTCTTGACTAACATGTTGGGCGAACGCTTCCTTTGGGTTGACTCTCTCTGCGTAATGCAAGACTCGGAAATGAAGAGACCAAGAACCCTGACAGACATGGATCGCATATATGCTCAATCACTTCTCACGATTGTTGCTGCATCGGGTTCGAACGCAAATGAGGGCCTTCCTGGTGTGTCAGTCGCCCGGAAGCGGAAGCAGTGGTATCAGAAGCTTTCACCGAATCTCATACTTTCAGCGCACGTCGATTTCAAGGATGTCATGGAAGATTCAGCTTACAATACGAGAGCTTGGACGTAAGTGGAAAAAGCTTTTTCGTGCTATAAGGGCCTCGCTGACGTTTGGCATGATTAGCTTCCAAGAGTATCAACTCACAAATCGCTTGCTCATCTTTGCATCAAACGGCCTGGTATACTTCTCGTGTAATAGTTCAGTATACTCTGAAGACGTCATAGACGGGCCAGCTCTGGAGATGGAGCCCGCTACGCTCTATGGAGCTCGATCGATCAAGATACAGCCAAACTCAAGACAGCCATGGAGTACATATTGTCGAGCCGTGGCAGCATATACATCGAGAGTGCTATCTCATCAGGGTGATGCTCTTGATGCTTTCAGTGGGATCTTGCGGAGCCTTCACAATGGACGTTGTGTGGAAGCAGTTCCAGTAGCCTTTCTTGATCTTGCACTGCTATGGCAGCCCTGCGAGCGCTTGAGAAGGCGTGAGGGCTTTCCAACTTGGTCATGGCTTGGCTGGATCGGTAAGGTCCGTTATGACGCCTGGACGATTGAAAGGGAAGAGATTTCCGAACTGCAAACTCTCAGCGCCTGGGCTGTCGCACGAACCTGGATCGTATGGTACAGTTCAACACGGGCTGACTGCCATCTACCTGCGAAACAGCTCGGTGATTCAGTGTGGTCGCATGATGTTCGTTCAGAAAGTGCGATGCAGAACCCGCGGTTCCCAACACCACACGACACAACCCAGCCAACACCGGGAGTATTGCTCGAACGCTTGAAGCAAATGCCGAGGACTGTGTCTAACACTTTTCGCTTTTTGCAGTTTTGGACAATTTCTATCCACTGTAGGATTAAGGTGAACCCGTCGGCAGTCCTTCGCTATAGCAGCCCCCACGCAGAGAACATGGGCAATGGTCTGCGCCGCTTCGAGGTACTGGACAACAACGCGCAAATCTGTGGCTGGGTCATGTTGGATGAATCATGGATCGAGATAGTGGCCAAGCGCTATGTCGAAACGCATGAATTTATTTTACTCTCCGAAGCTATGAGAGTCGACGAAAACGGGGCCATCACAGATGCAGCAACATCCGAGAGTTGCGCGGCTTTCAACGCCATGATGATTGTCTGGAGCGACGGTATTGCGCAAAGAGTTGGAATTGGTCGTATCAGCGCGTATCTGGGCCGCAAAGGCGAATGGAAAGAGATACTCCTCGGTTGAAATGTAAACTGGTTTGTGTTGGCGGGGTGACGGAGACAAGCCTGATCTGGGTCTTCGCTTGCCATACAATCAAACCGTTACCGATGCTTTGCACTCTGCCGCTGGTCATGGTCTTGAGGTCGGTAATGGCGGCGATTGCGAGTCAGAGGTTGACTACTAAGTGTCTGCTTGATGTTGAGGGGGTTCTTTGCGCACCGACCATTGTTCTGTCGCTTCTGTCATCGATTTGTTATCAGCTCCCGTATCGACGTTACCTGTTTCTCCGGTCGCTGGCGGCTGATGTCTTGACTAAACGCCATGCGAAACTTCGCGCTCACTTTGTGCGTCTTTTGTTTTCGTATTTAACGATGTAACATTTCCGTATCCCAGTACAACAAAATCACAACTTGCTCGGTCGATCACTCCGTCCCGTGACTGCAGTATCCTGCCACACCTTCGCATGTTCGAGATCGCCGAAAAGGCTCCACAAGAGCGCCTTCATCTCATCCTTGACACTGCTGGGGCTTAGTAAAGTTTTTCTCAACTGTGTATAAAGATCTTACAATTCACGGTACTTGAGCTCACCCGAATATAGTGCCGACGAGCAGAGATTGAACCTTCTATAAAGACTTCAGCTGAGCTCGACTGAACAAAGCATGCTGCTTCAACGAGGCTTACATGCAATACAGAGCGTTCCTGTGTTCGAAGTCCTCTTTAGGCTCTGACGCCGGGTAGTGTTTGAGGTATTCGGCTATGTAGGCTCCACTGATCTTGTGGCGCTTGAGTCGCCAGGGAGCTAGATCATCTAACATCCCGTGACTACGGTCAGTATGTGTCAAACAGCAAGCTTGTGAAGCTTACACTCGTGATGCGCATACGACGAGCACGCATCGAAGATCACTGGCTTCCGCGTGTTTCTGTCGACTCCGGTATTGCCGTCCCATAGATCGCCATGTACCAAGCATGCTGAAATGCTCCTGCCTTCGGTCTCTAGAGGCCTCAGTAACCGCGGTATCGCTTTATCCACGATATATGCGCGCAGCTGTACCATGTCTTTGTCGTGGCCATGCTGTAATTCTTCGAGATCGAACATCCGCTGTATGCCACGTGTAAAGCTCTCTTCCCAACTATCGCAAAAGGTGGTGTCTTGAGGAAGTCTGCCCCCATATGTCGTGACGGGAAAGCCGAATTTCCCTGTTGGGGAAAGCGCGGTTTTGTGCAGGCGGGCGATCTGGCCAGTGAAGTCGCTAATGCGTTGAAGCTCTTTACTTGATCTACCGTGAGATTCTTCACTGTGGTCGACTGCGGTGGATGCCTCGCCAGGTACTTCTCCAGTCATCTCGCGGAATGCGCATATGAAGAAGTAAGTGTTAGCATCTTTTGCGTAACCACCCCAGCCGATCGGCTGCGGGACGAGATCTGGCATGTTTTCGTAAAGGGCTGACATTGAAGTAAACTCCCCAAGCATCATACCCTTACCAACATCGCCACAGGAGACCTGAACAGCTGTCAAGTTTAGCAATGATAATCATGCATTAGCTTGCTAACCTTCAGGAAGTACGAAACTTCCTCACCGACGTCGTTGAGCGTAAGAATTCGAGCAGTTTGATTCCAATTTGAGAAGCCATGAGGTAAAATTCTTTTGATCTTAAACCCATCAGGAAGCACTGATGCTGAGGTTAGCAGCCCAGATGAAGTCAATTGCCCAGTCAACTCACATGCTGCAACGCTGGGATCAACGTATGAGATCACCGTGCGGGGCACGGCGGTCTTGATGCGCACAACCTCTGTATCAGCCATCACCCGAACAACAATGCGCATGGAAACCGGTGATAGCCAGCAGTAAAAAGATGCGGAAACCGACAGTTCAAGTGTACACGATGTGACGAGCCCCAACACAGGAGTCATTGTTCGTGTGACATCCAACAGCGAGCTTAACCCTTGCTTATCACAGTGCCACGTGAGTGCATGAGCCTAGCGATGCGGCGCTCTAGCCGACCACACCACCACTTTCCGATCTTGAACGTTAGCATGTCGACAGCAAACACACACGCCGAGATGGGCGAAGGAAGTGCAGTATCAGCGCCACCGTTCACCATCTTCACTAGCCGTCAGCGCACTTACTTCACCTACCTCCTCGGCTACTTAACGCTTGCTTCGTCTTTGACGGCTACGATCTACCTGCCGCTGATCGAGAGCCTAAGCAAGCAGTACAATGCGTCCATACTCGCAATCGATTTGACCATCACGCTCTATCTCGTCTTTCAGGCGATCTCGCCAGCTTTCTTCGGCCCATTGTCGGATACACTTGGTCGCCGCCCGGTCTTCTTGGTGACTTTTGCGATATACCTCGCAGCCAGCCTGGGCCTGGCTCTCAATGAGAATAGCTACGCTACACTACTAGTCCTGCGGTCCTTGCAGAGCGTTGGAGGTTCGGCAGTGATGTCGCTAGCTTACGCGGTCGTCGCCGATATCTCTTTACCTGCGGAGCGAGGGAGAATCCTTGGACCAATGCTCGCAGCTACGAACTTTGGGCCATGTTTCGGGCCTGTCGTTGGTGGCGGTATCGTATTAGCTACGGGACAGACGCAGTGGGCTTTCTGGACGCTCGTCATCTTTGGCGCATCTTCTTTGATGCTGATCGGATGGACTATGCCTGAAACCGGAAGAAACATCGTTGGCAACGGAGAGGTTTGTCCTCGCGCCTTGTGGAAAACATGGTGCTCTGTCATCAGGTCTAACGGAAGACGGGAAAGACAAATCGGCCCTGAGATCTCCAGAAACGTAGACTCAGAAAAGCGTGGTAAAGGCGTATGGAGCTTTCCAAATCCTTTCTCGTCGGTGCGTCTCATTTTCTACGCTGACACGTTCCTCATCCTCTGGTCAGCAGGCTCCCCATACGCTGTGTGGTACTGCATCCAAGCCTCCATACCACTGGTCTACGGTCAGGGATACGGCTACAACCCTTTGGCTGTCAGTTTATGCTTCTTAACCGGAGGCGCAGGAGTCATCGCGGGCGGCTTCATTGCAGGCCGTCTCATGGACTTCAACTACACGAAAACGGCCGAATCGTATGGCCTTCCTGTAGACCGTGTATCTGGTAACGATATTCGACATTTTCCCATTGAGGTCGCTCGTTCCCGTGGCTCGTATACGTTGCATATGCTTTCCGTCGGCACTCTCATTGGATTTGGCTGGGCAGTTGAGCGTGGTGTTCATACCAGCATACCACTCATCTTGCAATTCTTCATAGGTGCTAGATGTACCGTCGTACTGCAGCTGTACAGCGCTCTGATGGTTGACATCTTTCCGGACAAAGCTGGTACTGCCGCGGCCTCGAACAACATCGTCCGGTGTATACTGTCGGCCGTCGCGGTCGCGATGCTCCAGCCACTTAGAGATGCCATAGGAGACGGTTGGATGTTCACCTCGATTGGGCTCGTCGACGGCGTACTCGGCATGTGTGCAGCCGCAGTGTTAAGGAAGTGGGGGTACAATTGGAGGAGAGCAAGAATAGGCTGCGACTGATGTAATTTGTTTGCTGATGGCATGGTACTGTCATTTGGTATTCTGCGATCGGATGAATGAGGCGGTTGGAAATTTCGTGACGCGTCTGCACGTGCGCCATGACGCGCTAGAAGCTAGTAAATAAAGAAGGCCCGACTCGCCACGCAGCATCATCCCATGTGGAAGGCATCATCGGGAACTGAACAGCAACACTTGATACACAGAGGTTGAAACCGCGCGATACCGGCTTTTGAACACCTTGTTAGTCACTATATATGTAACCAAGAACCAGATTAACGTGTGAGGACCACGAGACGTCTCTTAGATTCCCAAACAGCGTGTGTCAGATTAATGCAAACTCCTGGGCTTCGTCCTCTTTCCAGTTCACTGCCTCTGTATTCCACGGATCCATCCAGTCTTCCAGATAGCAAGTGCTGACAACCTCATACGCGTCTTTCTCAGGTATGTGTCGAAGCGCGACTGGATGCGAGCAGCCATGCAGAATGCAGATCAAGTCACCTCTTTGAAGCCCGCTTCCTGTCGCGAGATGTCCATCTCGTGTAATATACAACTGTCGTTCTTGCATCACCATCTTGATATATTCGGTTACGGTACGCTTTTCCATGTTGTGATGCGTGACCCGATATTTGTATTCAGCAGAATATGTGGGATTTTTCACTCTGCTCGTTGCAAAATACCAGTATTTGATCTGGAGTTCGCTGGCAAATACAGCGGTATCCTCCGGCTCGTACGAGCAGGGTCCACAATGCCCTTCCGCAAGGAGCGCCGGTAGTATGGACTCAAGCACTGGTAAAGGTGCTTCTGGATCATAATATCGAGAAGTCGTCCAGGCGTCTATTATTCGCAGCAGCAAAGGAAGATATGCTGTGTTGATGTCTCCTTCCGACGTTGAGATTTCGTGGTCAACTTCTACGTCTACGGTAGCAACGACCCGACCATGTACCCACAGAGTACGCTCATCGCATTTACCGTTCCATGCATACATTTCAGAGCGTTCGTTGGAGCTACGTAGCGCATGTAACGGCAAAAAAGGCACGACGAGACGGTGTGCGGTAAAGTTGGGAACCCAAGAGGGTGTAGTCTTCGTTGTCGATAATCGTGGCAGAGTTTCGAAGATATCCAGGCTTTTAGTACCCTCAATTATGGAGCGTGCGGTTGCGACCAGGGCGGCCTGCAAAGAAATCTCATAGGATGGGTTCAGACGAATCCGGTCATCTTGATTCATTCCAAAGAAAGCATAGAGTTGATCATGGACGCTGGAAGTTTTTGCTTCGGCACTCAACGTAGACAGCACCTGGTCTAATGGCATCGGAGGTTTGATTGATGGCTTATGTCTCTCTGCCCACCGATCATGCATCTCTTTCAATACCCCATAACCGGACGGCGTAGACAGGTTATGTGTTTCCAACTTCCATGCAGTCTTACACAGTTCCCAAAGGGTGGGGAGTACGACCGTTGCGCGGTTGAAAGGTGGGGTCATGGAGTCTTGTAGGATGAATGCCGACTTTCGTGGCAGAACCACTTCCTGAAATACCCAAGCTCGCGAGAACCACGGGCTCTTCAGGATATCACCGCACAAGCCTAGAAGGTCCTCTTGTTTACGCTCGCAATCGACCATATCTCTGATAATGTTGTCGGCGCGCGGTTTACCCCAACTGACAAACATGTAGTAGTTCGGGGGTGCATGGTCAAGAGGAACTGAGACTAGACTGTCCAACGATGAGCATTGGGCCGCGATGCTGGATTTCAGCTCTTGAACCAGTCCCAGCCATACTAGAACGCGTGAGCAGTTAGAATATATGCTGCCCATGATTGAGACTTGTTGCGCTCGCTCGGACAAATCGTCTTGATTGATGCATATTTGATCAACCCAAAGGTAGCCCGTGGAGCAGTTCATAGCGATGTACGGTAAGGCTTTATTTAGGCTTTTTGTGATCCGAAGTAACGTGCCGTCCGACATTTCAAGCGCTTCTTCACGGCTAGGAGTACCCCAGACGTACGACAACGCCTCGTACTCTGGAGCCTGCTTGGTGTTGGTGTTCAACAACGAAAACTGCCACTGTATCGTACTGTCATGTACCTTCGTTGAACAAATCTGTAAGAGCCGTATGCTGTGCGCTGTCCCCAAGGACTCGTAACGGTAGGCTTCTTTCTCAGAGTGATGTGGGTGCTTCGGCATGGCTGTGCCTTCGTGATAAACGCCAGCTTTGGGTCAGCGACAGTGATGTTACGAGAGGGTTATGAGCGAATCGAGAAGAGACGAAAGTGATTGGCGATGGGAAGAGGAAATGTTTTCAAGGACGCTATGCTTTCGGAAGCTTTGAGAGCGACTGTGACGATCGTGCTGTGGCGAGGCGAGCAGCATATGCCAAGGCGATGACAACCTTGTACTGCGGCATCGCTTCTGCGAGGCTGAAGTGGGGCAGTGTTCACTGGACGCGCGACGAGTAGATTGACTCAACGCTGCGTGTTGTGTAAATCGCAACCACCAGAAGTGTAGCTCTGCGGTCAGTGAATCTACAGTGAGCATCTGCTCAGAGCTTGCTAGCCATATGTGAATTGTTGTGCTAGTGTCGTGCTCCAGTGCATGTTATGGCGCGTTTCGTGAATATTTGAATTGCATTACAAGATTCGCTAGTCGTTAAAATATATGTACGTACAGGGTATCGCTTTTGGTCGTGAAAGAACTAAGATGCCGGACTCGGACTGTTGCGAGCTGGCGAAAGGAAATTCGAAGAAAGCGCAATCCGATACTTGGGGATGCGGTCAGGAGTAGGAGTAGGAGTAGAGGTCTTCTTGACGCCATTCGGAGGTGGATCAGCGATCTCTGCCTTCGCACTGTTGGAGGTGACCTTCGTCGGTGTGCTCTCCGTCTCGATCGTCGAGTCTTTTCTGCGCTGTTGCGGTGTCGGGGTGTCCGGCGTCAACGGCGGACTGTCTTTCGAGGCCTGCGGTGT